CCCCTTCCCCTCCCCCCCCTTCTCAACACAAAAACGAATAATCCTGCTTACTTGCCTTTACAGAGAAGACACAACCAACGATCTCCTCCTTTCTAAAAATGGCCATCGCTGCCGCAAAAAAGGAAGAGAAGAAAAAAAGAAAAGAAAATTCAAAATCGAACGGATAACAAGAAAGGAACGCAGCTCACCTCAATGGTGGGCGTGAACCATCTTAAATCGAACTCGTTGTCTGGAGCAGGGGTCTTTTCAAAAGGTCGTCGGGGTCGGGGCGTATCCGCTGCCGCGTCCTCTCCTTCCGACACGTCAGCAGCACCTGGAGAAGCATGTGGACCTGTGCTTTGACCTTCCCGCGCTTCTGTGGAGTTTCCCGCCAACTGGCTGTCATCTGATGTTGTTTCCCGAAGAACAATGAGGGGCTGACGTGGCGGCTTCTTACGTCTTCTCCGAACAAGGAAGGCCGTCTCAGAGAGATTGAACTCCCGCGCGACCAGCTGCATCCATCTGTCACTTCCAGAATACGGCAAGTAGCACACAGCAGCTGGGTTCCCGCCAAACGCCCGGTCTGTAAATGCGTTCACCTGCCAAATTCCCGCCAAATTCCCGCCAAATTCCCGCCAAATTCCCGCCAAATTCCCGTAAAATTACCACCAAATTCCCGCCAAACGGCCTGTGTGAAAGCGAGTCCACAACGGGCAACCTTGCTATCAAGGTCCAGTCTCTTTCTCCTCCTCCTCCTCCTCCTTGTCCTCCCGAACGAACGCCCCTTGTGCTCACAGCTGTCTGGTCCTGTCTGACAGGTCCCGTCTGGTCCCCCTTTCTGGACCACGTCCCATTCTGAACCTGGTCCTTTTCCGGAACTGGTTTCCCGCAGGTGCAGCGCGCCACCGCTAAATAGCAGCAAAGGAAAATTCAAATCTGATCCAATATGAAAAGAGAAAGGAGATACCGTCTGACGGGTCCCGACATTGTGCCCTCTGACTGCTCACTGTCTGGACCTGCTTTCCCCAGGTGCAGCTCCTCACCAATTTTTTATTTTATTTTATTTTTTCTTTCTTTCCTCCCTCACTAATAAACCGGAGCAAAGGGAATTTGGTCAAGAATCATGAAGAATGGCTGTCTCTTATACACATCTAGATGTGTATAAGAGACAGATGCTGGGCTGGGATGAACAGGGCAAGGCTGGAATGGCTAGGCTAGATTGGATTGGATTGCATTCAATTGGATTGAATTAGATTAGAGTACATTAGATTGGATTGGGCGTGTCTATGGGTGGGTGGGCGTATGGATGGATGGTGTACTGATTGATTGGTTAATTGATTGGTTGATTGATTGATTAATTGGAGGGATGGATAGATGGCTGGCTTATTGATTGATTGAGCGAGTGATCGATGAATGGATGGATAGATGGATGGGTGGATGGCTTACCGATTGATTAATTGATTGACTGATTGATTGATTGATTGTTGATGGATGGATGGATGGATGGCTTACCGATTGATTGATTGTTGATGGATGGATGGATGGATGGCTTACCGATTGATTGATTGATTGATTGATTGATTGATTGATTCATTCATTGATTGATTGATTGATTGGCTGATTGATAGATTGATGGATTGATGGATGGATGGATGGATGGACGGATGGATGGATGCCTTATTGATTGAGTGATGGATGCCTTGATTGATTTATTGATTGATGGATGGATGGATGGATGGATGGATGGATGGATGGATGGATGGATTAGGGATGCATATGCATGATGAATTGTATACCTGAGCATAGTCGATCTCAGAGAAGAGTTCGTCTTCTATTTTGTACTTGGCGGCTGTGGCTTGAATGTCATCTTCCGACAGCCTCTGGATGGCTTCGTGAATAACCTGCTGCCTGGAAGGTTGCTCTGCCCACTGCTCCACAGATGCCCTGCGCACCAAGAGAGAAACCACCCACCACCATCATCAGGCTAATTGTCATCTCACCCAACACTCACCAAACGGTAGAAAAACGTGCAGCAAGAGGGCGGAGTGGGGAGAGATTTGAAACGAAAGGATTGAAAATGAAAGTGGGGGCCGATGATGAAGGGTAGATCTGTGAACTGGAAGTGGGTCTTGATCTGATATGTACTCAGCAAAGTTACAATGGTAGAATTTAAGTCATCGTTGAAGTCCTTGTCATTGGAAGAAGCGTGCTGAGCGAATCTATCTGTTTATTGATTTAATCCAAATCATGATAAATCGCTTCTAATTCTATGGATTGATTGATTGATTGATTGGTTGATTGATTGATTGATTGATTGATTGGTTGATTGATTGATTGATTGGTTGGTTGATTGATTGATTGATTGACTGATCGACTGATTTGATCGATTGACTGATTGATTGATTGACTGATTGACTGATTGGTGGCTCCTATTGGAAGATTAGATGACGTGAAAGTGAATTGTCAAAAGAAATGATGAAAGTAAATTGTCAAATGAAATGATGAAAGTGAAGAATCTGATGAAATGAAAGTGAAGAATGAGATCAGATGAAAGTGAATAATCTGATGAAATGGGAGAATAATCAAATGGGAAAAAAATGAGTTAATCAAATGAAAATTTGAATCAAGCGAAATGAAAGCGACCAATCAGATGAAAAGAAGTGGATTAATTATAAATATTAAAAAATAACCAATAATCAAATCGGTAAAAAAAATGATTACTAAACTGAATAATCAAATGAAATGAAAGTGAATAATCAAATCAAATGACAGGGTTCTCTTGATCGATCGCTTTCATCAATCTATAATTCACTTCCATTTCATCCAACTTTCTGATCTTATGATGATCGATTTGATTTTAACATTTTATGTCTGATTTAATTTGCTAGGATCCGATTGGAGTAAGATTACATTAGATATTGAATTCATTTGATTTTGACTTTGACTTTGATTTTGACTTTGATTCTGACTTTGATTTTGACTTCGATTTTGACTTTGATTTTGACTTCGATTTTGACTTCGATTTTGACTTTGATTTTAATTTTGATTTACCCAATTTTTTCAGTAACTGTTTATTCTCCCATGATCAAATTGCTTCCCCTGTCACAGACGCCAAATACGGCCTCGCTCCGCTACTCCCCACATGCACAAAAGGCAAAAAAGAATACGGCTGTGTATCTTTCCATGTTCTAGCCGAGTATTCATTCTCATTTTGCACACTGGGTGCGAGTGGTGGAGCGAAGACCATATACTACTTTCAACTTTTGGCATTTAAATTTGACGTCCCTGACCGAAATTTCGCCGTTATTTTTTTATGTACCGAAATCGTCGGGTCCTACCTTCTTAACCCGAAAAAAACGTACGTACATTCTATTCGAACGACCTCTGGAAATCGGGTTTTCAGAAATGGCTTGTTTTTTTTTCCCGAATAGAACGTACGTTCGAATATGACGTACGTACGTTGTATTTGAATACAACGTGCGTTTGCTGTAATTGAATTTTTGCAATTTGTTTTTTTTTTACTCATCCAAAAAATCCGTAAAACAAAAAATGTTATACAGAAATGGAATACAAACAACTTTTGCCTTAGGGTCTTGTTGAAATTAATTCACAAGTGAATTCGAAATAAAACTAAAAACGAGGATGAAAATATTTTTTACTAATTTTTTTCAGAACTTAGATTTTCAAAAGACTTCATTAAAAAAATCCGAAAAAAAAGTATGTTGTACAAACTTGCAATGCAAACAACTTTTGCCTGAGGGTCTTGGCGAAATTCCCAACGAAATTTGAGATAAAAATAAAAACAATGGCGGTACCACAGACTTCTAAAATGTTGTACCCTAAAACTCGTTCTCCAACGTACGTACGTTGTATTCGAATACAAGGTACGTACGTTTTTGGGGGGTTAAGAAGGTAGTGGCGAAATGTCGGTCCAGATGAACCCTAGTAGGTAAGCCCTGACGATGATTTCGGTTCAAAAAATCGCCGATAGGATAACTACGGCCAGGAACGGCAAAGTTAAATCCCCAAATGGATAATTTCTTACATACGAATATTATTCCGGGACGTATCTGAACGTAATGACAACCAAATTCACTACAGCAGCTCCTACTACATGTAGTCGTAAGGATACCTTTAGTAGAGGTAGCAGAGGCGGCATTTACTGGCAGAGCTCGTTTTCCGTTCTTCCTTACTAGTAAGTCGCTCTTCCATTTTTCTCATTTTTCCCCGCGCTCATTTCCGCGCGGGGAAAAAAAAACAAAAAAAAAAAACATGCCTGATCCAGAAAATCAAAACTGCAAAAGACGTGCCGTCGTCCGAACATTCAGCATATTAAGCATCGATACAAGAGCGAGGGAAGAAAGGTAGGATAAACCCGAAGGGTGCCTGGAAGGAGAGAGAGAGAGAGAGAGAGATCTGCAGAAAGAACGAAGATAGGGCAGAAACGGGAAAAGGTAAGTGAGGATAGAGAGCGGGGAAAGGAGGAGAGTTGTGAGCAAACAGACAGATAGAGGTACAGACATAGACAGACAGAAGGATGGAAGACGCTGCTCACTTCTAGAGTGTGGGCATTATATTTGGGAAAACTGCATTTCCACATACGGTGGATTACTTTGTGGATCGTGATCCATTTCTTCGCTTCCTTGCCTGAAGAACAACAGATGATTGACGCGACGTCAAATGCCATGTGGAGTTCAGTCGGGACGTAGATGACAATCCAACCTCAGCCACCCCATTTCCGCCTGATCGGCCAGCTAGAGCGACGCTCGCCGCCGTCGGCACTCTCCAAATCGCTGCCGCCATGATAACCAACCCTATCTCTCTCTCTCTCTCTCTCTTTTTCGTTTTTTTTCGCTCTCCACACCCCCGCACACAGGAAACAAAAGTCACAAAGAAAAAACAAGTCACCAAGAAGAACGCGAGCGGGCACTTTTCCCGCAGCGTTCGGAGCGCACGGCGCATGCGCGATTCCCCGAGTCTCAGCGCCACTGCTCGAGCGCCATTCCCCGAGTCTCAGCGCTACTGCGCCAGCGCGCAGAAGACCGAACCGCGCTGGGTTGGATCAGCACCGATGGTCTCAAGCAGGTGATCCACGCGTCCCGGTGGGTGGATCTACCCTAGCTCTGCTTGACTTACCTCCAAGGAACAACACGTGGCGAGGCACGAGTCCTTCCCAGCGGTTGGGACCACCACCTCCTCCGGGCCTCTTTTCGCCGAGGCGGAGACGAACTGCGCGCCAAGCGTTGCCGAAGTGCCCGCGCGATCTCTTCTTTTTTTTTTTTTTTTTTTTTGGAAAGCAGGTAATTCCATTGCAACAAAAATGGGACGAGGCCGGGGACCTCACAATTCAACCCGGAGGTAACCTCTTCTTTTCGGTTCTGCCTGGCGGTTTGTTTTCCGTCCGGTGGCGCCCGGCCTCCGAAGAACGCGGGATAGGTTAGGTTTTACCGCATTCTTAGGCCATACTCACACTACCGGTAGCACCATCGTAAAAATGTATGTGATCGCATATAGGGCCAGACGTGGATGTATCTGGCCGCAGTCACGTCAAAAAATAAGTAAAAACGTTCTCGTGTGAGTATGCCCTCAGGTGGTTACCTGTCGACTCTGGACAGGCATGGGCGTCCTACGGTAGCTTCAGGTTGGTGAGGCACGCAATTCCCAGACAGGAAAAAACGAAAGCGGAAACTCTCGATATGCCCCTGAAAGTTCTATTTCGTGTGACACGTGCCCCTCCAACGGCCTACTTACCCTGTCGTGCCACTGGGGCCTCTGAACTTTCCTGCAGGCCCCTGTCAGTGATGGGTGCAACTTTCCAGCATGTCCCTGTAGCCTTCGGGCGCACACGCGCCCGTTCCACTGGCCCTGGGAGGAGAGCTCCAGGGGCGTAGTGGAAATTTGGAACCAGTACCGCTAGGGGCATATTGAACATAGTTCAGACCCAAACGACACCAGGGTTTTTTCGGAAACACAATCGTGTCAGAAAGGCCCGACAAGGTAAGTTGGCCATCAGAGGGGCACACCCCAATCAAACTTTCAGGGGCATGTCGAAAATAACCTCTAATGGAAAAGAAAAAAACGCATGCAAGTGGCGTTTAGGAGATTTTGGCTTCAATCCCCGTTGGCCTCATGTGCCTTCTTGGGCAAGCTTGGTGCCCGTCACCTGAAGATAGGTTGTTTGTCCACTCGAGCGGCATTGAGTTGAGTTGGAGACTGTTGAGATGAGACAAGTTGGTTGTTCATGCCTGCCCTCATATTTTGTGTTGGAATTGTGAGCGTTGAGGGTCTGCCAAATCTATCGAGTTGCAGGCGGGCATGAAGTTAAAGTTTAGGATCGCTCCCAAATCTTCCCTCCTAACAACTCCCAAACTAATCCAAAATTTGAGAGTTGGTTTGAGAATCACACTACTCTCAAATTGTTGACTTCAAAAGTGGTGTGCAAGAGGCCCTCTCCTGGATATTTGTCCAATAACATGGTATGTCCCAGACACACCTAATCATAATTCCATCCCAAGATCAATCATAAATGTCACAGTGGGACTACACCCTAAGTTCCCTTCATTAAATTAGGTTCTCAAGGCAGTTGTTATAATCAATAAGTCAGCGGTATGTGCTTGCCTAGTGGCCCGAAAGTGTACACAAATGATATCCGACGCTCCCCTTTTACAAAGCGCACAAACACTATAACGTATTCTGAATGTATCTAACTGTACTTACAACCAATTGCGGGTGTACCTTACTACAATTAAATCCAAATCTAAGTAAATAGCCTTTAGTATGTCATTGAAACGAGTCAAACGCAACACTCGACACGGGATAGGACTCTTGTCCATCTCCAACCTTATTCGGGGTCAAGTGTCACACGCATAGACTAACAGATATTGTTTGTAGATCAGGAAGACTGACGACTAGTAAAGACTCTGTTTTGTCAAACCTAATGTTTTTACCAAGCTTGGAGAGGTAAACTACATGTTGCTTTAGTTTGATAAGCATTACCGCTCAACAAAAATAATCTTCGGAAAAAAAAAACTCGTCTGAATCTCTTTCTCTTTGTTTCTCAATATGTCGATTTATGTCAAACCGCTTCCTATTTACCTAGCAATGCTATTCTCTTTCATCCACCCGATTTGCAATTTTGCAAGGCTTGACAGGTGGGTTAGAACAACATAGTTGAATATGAACTTGGTTTATATCATCCTCCTATTAAGACTTCAACCACGTGCTAAGTCAGTCACCAGGATGTGTACAAAATTGTCAAATGAAATCGGTGCCACGTCTAAAATATTGTCACAACATCGAGGCGAATGCCGACTTGGTGACCTTCGCAGTCCCCCTCGACTGGGTGCGCATCCTGCGCAAAGGGCCATGGCTGATGGAAGGAGATTGGGTTGCTGCCCCGGAGGATCCGGAAAGTGTGGGCAATGTAGTGGAGGCAAGAACAAATGAAACACTGGTAAACCTTTTCCACCTAGGCAAGGAGAAATTGCTCACTCGGTACTGCCCTGATGTGGCCAGGTGGTGGAAAAATGCAGACCCGCACATGATACGAGTATTACGAGATAAAGATGATTGGATTGCATACAAACCAAGCACTCCCGTGACGGAGCTACCCCTGGACCCTGACGATTGGCAGTGGGTCCCTGCGCGAAAACCCAAGTCGGGACCGAACCTAACACTGCACACTTTATCAGTGAAAGCCACCTACCGTCTGCTCCGACCAAAAGTGAACATAAAAGATGTAGTAAAGGCTCGATGGAGGCCACACTTGAAGGTAGGAACTGAGGCAATCCGCCCGATCTGATGGTTCACCGCCACAAAGTCTAGACCTGCAAAGATGGCCTCTCTTCAATGGCAGATAGAACAGCGCTGCCTGCCTACCAATGACTGGCTGATAGACTGCACATACCTAGAGCAAAAGGGGCAGGCACTACCATGGTGCAAGTCGTGCCACACCGCCTTTCCCTCCCGCAGAATCCCTGAAACTATAGAGCACATATTCATGCAGTGCCCAGGGGCGGTGCTCACATGGCAATGGTGGGACAGGATCTGGACACAGTTGGGCACTCATTCTCACTGGCCATGGGATTGGCGGGCCATATTATGCGAGACATGGTCCTCCCCCGCTGACAGCACCTTTGAAAACAACATGTTCAAGCTAAGAAGGAGAGCGGTCATGTGGAGCTTCTGGAGGAAACGTTGTATACATGTAATGGAGGGAGTCCGTATAACTGGGGAAGAGGCAACAAACACGATAAGACAATACATTCAACAAGATATCATGATACACTGGCAAAAAATGCAAATCCAATTGGATCTATATCACTCAGCAAAGGATATTATGCAAGCAATTCGCCAATTTTCTGAGGACTGGTTGGGTAGCGAGAACGGGGGCTGGATCGCTTTTGTCAGATGGGAGGGCAAACCCGCCCACGAGAACAGCCAGGAGGAATTCAGACGAGACTACTGCATCCGTTTCAGAGACTGGACTGCTATGGGCCAAGAGATTCCGCTACGACTTGCCACAGGCTTCCCCGACCCCTTCCCTTCTCACTAGCTAGCGATGGTGGATATGCAATGGTACGATGCTGACTGATTGGACAGGAACAGGAACCGAAAATTCAGCCTGAGGAACAGGAAGTAGCTGCTAAAGGAGAGACGAATGATCTGGTGGCCTAAGGCAGACTGAAAAGGCGGCTCGCAACTTGTCCATTCTGTTACCGGACGTACACGGAAGTACATTGGTAGGAAAGTTTTTCTAATGATCAGGGGCACTGGACCCGATTTCCATCAAGTGCACGCTTCCCTGTGCAGTCAATCCGTGGCTGGCAGGAATACACTGTTCTGAAAAAAAATCTTCTCTCTCCAATGGCCTGCTCAGTCAATCCCCTGGAACCTAGGGTAATCAATGCTGGCGGAAACTCAGGTTTTATTATAAATGGGACGCTGGACCCAGGTTTCCAGCGAGTGGGCTGGGTGCAAGACGACGACTTGGGAAATGACAGTTCAGACTGGGTGGGGGGAGGGAGAACTAGTGAGTTACAGTAGGTATCTGGCACCGGTTCCAAGGTGTAGAGGTTCCCCCCCTCCCCTACCTCCTGCTCAGTCAATCCCCTGGATGCCAGGGTAATCAATGCTGGCAGGACTCTTCCACAATGTTTCTTGTTCTGACATGCTGCAGATTCAATCTATATATGGGACGTTGGGCCCGTTTCCCAGCACGTGATGCTCCCCACCAATAGATGGAGCCTCTCCCCAGGTGTTAATGGTGTCTGCTCTTATCAGCACCTCTTACACTGGCGGGGGAGTGTTGTAAAAAAAAAATAAAATAAAAAAAAATAAAAAAATGAGAAGAGTGTTGCATCGGACAACAAAAAAATAAGAATTTGCCTGTCACATTTAGCGCAGACGAATAATTGTCAGGAATCGAAAAATCCCACTCCATGAACGTCATTTAGTGGCTTCTTCTTATATCCACATGAAAATGAAATGCGACTTCGTTTTTCAAATACGTGGTTGGATAATGTGAAAGCGTTGTGTTTTTTTCTTTTTTTTTCTTTTTTTTTGACACTTTGTCATTTACGGTTCTAGGTATCTTAACCATGTCACTAACGTCGTGTCAGTCTAACATGGTATCCATTTATCTATCCATTAGCATCGTTTGTGTAATGCATATTCGGCACGACGATGAAAGTGAGTGAGAAAAATTGAAGGTTTTTTTTTTTCCTTCATTTTTTTTTTTTTTTACATTACTTAATAATTATATCACCATTTTAGTTTTGCACCACTGATAGGACATGGAAGTGTCATATTTACCTTATCGTACTTGTCATCTATCTATCTCGATTATAAAAATAATGATCGACCAACGTTAATCCCTTTGTGATTTTATGTGCATAGTGAGTGATTATGAAAGGTTATATCCCAACGGTCTTGATCAACGTCACCATCATCAAAATAATAATAAAAATTATATCATTCTCATACTCTT